CTATCTATCTATCTATCTATCTCCACCTGTCCATATCTCTATCTATCTATCTATCTATCTATCTATCTATCTATCTATCTCCACCTGTCCACATCTATCTATCTATCATTCTATCTATCTATCTATCTATCTATCTATCTATCTCCACCTGTCCATATCTATCTATCTATCTATCTATCTATCTATCTATCTATCTATCTCCACCTGTCCATATCTATCTATCTATCTATCTATCTATCTATCTATCTCCATCTGTCCATATCTATCTATCTATCTATCTATCTATCTATCTATCTATCTCCATCTGTCCATATCTATCTATCTATCTATCTATCTATCTATCTATCTATCTATCTATCTATCTATCTATCTATCTCCATCTGTCCATATCTATCTATCTATCTATCTATCTATCTATCTATCTTCATCTATCTCCATCCATATCCATATCTATCTATCTATCTATCTCCACCTGTCCATATCTATCTATCTATCTATCTCCACCTGTCCATATCTATCTATCTATCTATCTATCTATCTATCTATCTATCTATCTATCTATCTATCTATCTATCTATCTCCACCTGTCCATATCTATCTATCTATCTATCTATCTATCTATCTATCTATCTATCTATCTATCTATCTCCATCTGTCCATATCTATCTATCTATCTATCTATCTATCTATCTATCTATCTATCTATCTCCATCTGTCCATATCTATCTATCTATCTATCTATCTATCTATCTATCTATCTATCTATCTATCTCCACCTGTCCATATCTATCTATCTATCTATCTATCTATCTATCTATCTATCTATCTATCTATCTATCTATCTCCACCTGTCCATATCTATCTATCTATCTATCTATCTATCTATCTCCACCTGTCCATATCTATTCATCTATCTATCTATCTATCTATCTCTATCTATCTATCTATCTATCCACCTGTCCATATCTATCTATCATCTATCTATCTATCTATCTATCTATCTATCTATCTATCTCCACCTGTCCATATCTATCTATCTATCTATCTATCTATCGATCCATCTATCTATCTCCATCTGTCCATATCTATTTATCTATCTATCCATCCCCACCTGTCCATATTTATCTATCCCAACCCATCTATATTTGTTTATCTGCCTATTCCAGATTATCTATCTCTCCATCCACCCAAGTCTGTTATATATATATATATATATATATATATATATATATATGTGTGTGTGTGTGTGTGTGTGTAGATACACTTTAGTCGATTCATCTCTCTTTCTATTCCAGTTTGTCCACATTTATCTCTCTCTCTCTCTCTCTCTCTCTCTCTAATTATCCCAGTCTATTCATATGTATCCCAGACTTTCTATCTATATTTATATTTGGCATATGTTATATAACAGTCTTGTTTCTTAAAAACTTCTAGTTTTCTACCTAAGTTTTTAAAATCATAGATTCTTTTTCTGCTTGTTAAATCACAGCGTCAGACAGTCAGATTGTTTTCAATATGCAATCACTAAGTTTCTGTTATGAAAATCTGTTTTATTCCACATTATTTCTATTTGACAACTTTCAGTCACTGTGGAATATCTCAACAAAATAAGGTTATTTTCAAGAAGGCAAATTAAGAAAACTGAAAACAAAATATGTCAGCTTAAAATAAATAACTGAAGAAAAATGCAGACTTTTCAGAAGCCATTCTCTGATAAGCAAGTGGGACTGCTATTTACAATCATGTTTATGGCAGAAATGCTTTTGGACATGGATTTTCAGAAGGAAAAAGGAAAAAGGAAAACAGAAATGCTAAAGCAACAATAGAATGAAGAAAACAGGCAAGAAAAAGATCACAAGATGGAATTGAAAATTCTTTGGAAAAAAAAATAATGAAATATAATTGGTTGAATAGTCAGACGTTTTCATTGGTTAGAAAAGATGAAAAAGAAATGGGGTGTGTCTATTGTTGTTTGAAGCAGTGTGCATATAATCTAAGTGAATGATAAGGGGAGATTTGTTGCCAGAGTAGTAATTTGCATTGATTTCTGTATGAATTCAGACTACAGCTGGGAGATTTGGGATCTACTATGATATTGATCTTTTATCAACAGGTATGTACTCAAGTGTGTAGGAATTGCTTAGGGATAAGATCCTTTGTGTAACTGTTCCTGTAGCGAATGGAGAATAAAGGCCAGGATGTAAGATATCATCCCTGGTATGTCTTAAAGCTCTGGTGAGTTAGAATAAGAACTGAAAGTGCTTTGGTGTTGAGTGGGGAAAATGCATGTCAGTGACAAATGGCAAAAGCAATAATTCTTGAAGCTATAAAAGAATCCTGTTTAAATTTAAATGACCATTGTTTTGAAGTGATTCTTTTTGTTACATTATGTTACTATGATTAAACTCCTAAGGTTGAGGTACCATAGAGGAAAGTTCATCAGAACAATTACCATGAAAATATTTATAGAGGAGGCACAGGGAAGCAATATTATAGCACTGGAAAAAGAATTTAAGATGAGATGCCAGGTTAGGACAAATAATATTTTTTTAGATTTTTATCAAGAATCTTGATATATAGAAGCACTAGACTAGATATGGTAGCAATATTCAATGCATGAATAAATGGCAGATTTAAAAATATATAAAATAGATCCTACCAAGAAAAATTGTCCAGCATAATACTCTGAACTAACATTCTTAATATTTGCAGGATAACCATGTCATTATGTTCAAGTTGCCAAAAAATGGTTTGAAGAGTTCTTCTGAAGGATCCTGATGAATTGTATTCACTTGACTTGAGCTTAATTGAGCATTTATGGAACATGGTGGAGATGTCTATTTTCATGCAAAATTCTACACTCACAGGAACCTGTTGACAGCTACTGAATTGTCCTGGGTATGATGATAAACTACATCCGGCAGCAAGGCTTCTGATTGGGAGGTTTTGAGCAGCATGGAACCACCACTTAATTGATGTTGTCCCCAGGTCCACCCTGACCTGGGTTGGTAGCACCTGTTAGGGTCCCAGCTATGGGCAAATTGTGAACCCCTAAATTGGGGTGAAAATATTATGAAAGTATAAAAATGCATTCTTATAGTAAATATTTCTAGTAATAGATTTATATAGTAAAAAAAAAAAATTACAAAAGTTACGAAGAAAATTAAATTTTGGCATT